GTGGTGACTGGCTCTCGCAGCCGCAGCAGCGCCGCCTCCCGCGCGGTGTTGATGGTGACTCGGGGGCCGGCCGTTGGCGGGCGGGGGGGCTGCTCCCTTGCTCCGGGCTCGCTAAGCTCCGCTCTCCGCTCCCGATACCGATCGAACTGGCTACAATGGCGGCGCGCACTCGCTAGCCACCCCGTAGGCTCCGCCCACCCGCGACGCCCATTGGCTCGCTGGGGCTGCCCGTCAGGCGGCGTGCGTCGCCATAGGTCTCCTTGACGTTCGGAGCCGGCCCTTTGGCTCTCCAGGCCCGTCCGTCAATATCCCCGCGCCGCCATTGGCCGGCTCCCTGTTCCCCTTTAGCTCCGCCCCCTTCGAGAGACGGGGACTGGAACTCCACGCTTACTCGATTCCTACGGGCTGCCGGCCGCTGGGCTTTCGGCTCTGATTGGCCGAGACTCTTAGCCCCGCCCCGCCCCTTTTCCCGGGAAAGGTGCAGCCAGGAAATGTCCTTTCCGCTCCCTCGCGATGGGCACCACGTGCCCAGGGAGCCTCGGCCCGGGTGGCCCTCAGTAGCGTGGCCGATGGACTTCTCTCCCCGCCGGTCGGCCGATGGCCAGGTTTTAGTCGAGCTTCACCCTCTCCTCCTTAAAGAGTCCTGCGGAACTCACGCCCACCTGAACGGCGGCATCTCTCCGCGATCACGGAGTTGTTGCCCAAGAGCCGCTAACCAGGAGAGTAGAGGCTTCTCCCTGCTGTTTTAGGAGCCAAGAACTTTGGCCCACGTAGAGAAGCTTTTTTAAATAAGTTGCCCCCGAGAGTTTTTGCCCCAGAGGTAGAGGCGCGGCGGGGAGTTGGCAGGCCCTGCTGTGCCTCATGGCCCGGAGGCTGGCTTCCCGAAGCAGCTGGGAAAGCACCTGATCGGAATGTACCTCCCGTAGTTCACTTCCGCCCTGCCAGCAGCTAGAGACAGGCAGAGGAAATTCGCGCAGGTCTGTCTTTGGTCAAATCAAGCCCCACCAACCACTTGGGAGAGCGCCCGGGCCGACCCTAAAAGAAACAACCCTCCTGCGCTGCTCAAGAGGATATTTAAATATTTACAGCAGTTATGTTGTCTATTTTCCGATGGGTGGGGGACCATTGAAGCACCTCATACTGGCCTGCCACAAAGTCACCTTTGTGTGCCAGGTATGATCCCGCGAGGAGGCAAGCAAGAGAATGGGGGAATGGAGGGAGAGAGGATTCTTCCCCTAAGAGTTATGCAGAGATCATTTTCGCAGCCTTGGCCACGTGGTTGCTCTGTAACCGACAAGGCATGAGATGGGTGGGAGATTTTAGATCCCTGAAGAGATACTTTTCAGCTCCTAGCCTGATCTTACTCCTATCCCCCTCACCCCATCACCTTCAAAGTGAGAAAACAAGATGCAGGTAGTGTTTCAAAACAGTCCTTTAGCTACTGCTCACTTCCCTTGCCTGGATTAAATCTGCTGCTAATATTTGTTTTCTATTATTTTGCTAAGTGTTGCAAACTTGATTCGTGTGGTTAACTTTGTAAGATGCAGCTGATGACATGAAGTAGCTTAATCTTTGATTTGTGAGCCACTTGTCTTCTATGGACCGTAAGGTCATTCTATATAATAAGTCAATTAAAAATACACTAGATGTAGAGGAGGAGAAGAGTCAAAAAGCTTAATCACAGCTGACCACAGCTATATTCAAAATCTACCCTTTGGGGTTCCATGGGTCTTTTCACCACTCTCCCCCCACCCACTGGGAGTCTTCTTTGTTTCCTCCTCTGAGTGGAATGAGACAAACTGCACCTAAGTATCAAGTAATGAGCGGCGTATCCTAACGGTTTCCCACACACAAGCTCGCCTTGCAGATCCCAATGGGCGGGCTTTCATGAAACCATGCCAGGCAACGGCCTAGACTAGAGAATCCTCCCCAGAGGATGATTTGGTGGGAATAACTCCGGCAATTAAAGAATCGTCTTTATTTACATGGGGAAGGGAAAAAAAAATAAAAGCTTGGAATGGATGAGGCAGAAGATCAAAGCAAGGATGAAGCAATCGGGAAGTGGTGATGGTCCAAGATGACAGGCCTGGAACGGGGGGGGCAGGAGGAAGAATTAGTCATCATGGCGACATTGGAAAGAAATCAGTTCCATTTCTCCAACCCAGCCCTTTCACCAGGTGTTGATAGCCGCCGAGAAAAAACTCCTGTTAATCGTGGGTAGTCCCCCCCTACATCAGCTGCCACGGGTTCAACTGTGTTGAAATGGACCCTGTCGGAGTGAACACTTGCCATAGACTTAAGGAAGGAGGGGACCTCTTCCAGGCCCCCAATGTTAGGCAAATCTAACTCCTCCTGGAAAGTCCAACTCCAGGATCTGGGGTTTATGCCCCAAAGTGAACTTCAGGAAGATCAATGGGGCCCACAGTGGGGCCTTGGCAAGCAAAAGGGGCTCAGGGACCCTTTGCCGCCCCTCCTTCCCTAAGGGAGGTGCGTGTCCTTGCCTTTAAAAGGATAATGACTTTGTGCAACAAATCCTATGCAATTCGGACAAACAGGATTCCATTCTGTATATCTATTGGCTGTATTCGTAACCCCTTTTCTATAATTTATTGAGCCTGTCCTAGAGAAAGCGAAGTCACCCAAAGGGACCTTTGGGTTAATTAAGAGTGGGACCTTGGCCTGCATTTTCAAGGTGAGTCAGCCTGTTTGTTGCCGCCATGAACCACCCAGCAAAGCGTGATAAAGGAATCCGAGACCCTCTTCTTGACCTTATAAACTTAATTTGGCTCTCAGATTCTTTCAGGCTTTGCCCCACTGAACGTGGTTTCAAAGCCACCGAGGCAGCAAGCTAGGTTAAGACACTGTATACTAAATGAACACTGATGGGAAGCTGCCTTCCATGTGGACGGAAAAACTGAATTATATACATCAGGCAGAAGCACCATCCTGCCACTCATTTCCCAGATCCTGCGCCTCCGCCGGGCAGCCTATTTCTCTTTGCAAAGACTGAAGCCGGCCCATGAGGCTGCTCCTGCTGCATCTTCAGCTCTGCTGAGGGAAGGTGGGGACCTACCTGAGGGCTTGCCTTCATCCTACATCTCCCCACACTGGGCAATCACGACAGGCAGCTTGGGTTTGTTATTTGGGCCCGTGGGCACATTCTGGGGGGAGAGAAGGCAGCGTTACCAGCAGACCGGCTCAGCACCCGTTCCCAGGTAAAGCTAGGAGGGGCTCTGGCTGAGGCCACCCCTTCCCCACCATCTGAAAACCAGGAACAGTGGTGGTGAACATCTGCCTTTAAGCTTTTTTTTTTTTAAAGTTTTGCTTGAAACGCCCCTTGTTGGCCCCGAATTGATGAAAACCGGCCAATCCCGATTCAGGCCCGGACCCCTCTCTTCCAGGACTGCCAACTCTGATTGGCAGGCAATGGCCCTCGGGCAATGTGTAGCCTGTATAATTAAAATTGTAAACCGCCCGGAGAGTGCTTGTAGCGCTATGGGGCGGTATATAAGTCCAATAAATAAATAAATAAAATAAATCAGGCAGGATTACTGCCTCCTGTCCTTCGAGACCCCTGACATCCCCGGGGCGATTTCTCCCACAAGTACCAACCAGGTCTGACCCTCCACGGCTTCTGAAACCAGGTTGTTGGGTAGCACTTACTTCAATTTTCCTCATGACAAGCAGGCCATCAATTATTTTACCTGTCAGGTTAAGAAAAGAGGAAACTGGTTTTATTACCGGAGCTACAGTATTTCAAATTCACAAGCAAATTTAAATTCCTATCGCAGGAAAATGACACAAAAAGGAAAGGGGAATTCTTGGGAATACACACACTTTTCTTTTGGGTGGGGAATAAAAGATAACAAACATAGCTAACCAGGGATGGAATGGTATGAAATACAGATTTGCAGGGGAATTATTTTTTGGGGGGGACAACTTCCACAAGTTGCCAGGAATTCCCCAGGCAGAATTCTTCGGGTCAACCAAGAAACACACACTTATAGACCTCTGAGTCTGACTAACCTGGAGCAAAGCCTAAGGCTGCAAGGTCTTCTCTAGGAAAGAAAAAGGAAGTTTCCGTGGTACCTCTTGGGAGCTGTAGTTCTTTGGGAGGCACCCTCTATAGAGCTCAAAGGACATCAAGACTCCAAATCCCAGAAAACACCACAGGAACTTTCTCCACTCTGCTTTGATATTAACAAGAGGCAGAAAGGCTGGAGAGGGCCCTGCAGGCACGGAAGCTAGGCCCTGCGCTCCAGGTGAGCAAAATGCAGGTGTCTGTTCAATGTGTGTGCTGACATACCCAGAATCCTGCCTGGGGAATTCTGGGAGTTGGGATCCGAGCAGGTGGGCCTCAAAACGGCTCTTTGGGGGTTTCGCCCTCTCCCCGAGCACCATCACTCACCAAACACGACGTGTTTCCCATCCAGCCAGTCGCACTTGGAGCACGTGATGAAGAACTGGCAGCCATTGGTGCTGGGACCGCTGTTTGCCTGGCATCGAGGAAGCACACAGGAAAGAGATGGGGATCATTCCTTGGTCACCGCCATTCGTTTGCGAGAAAAGAATGGACTTGCCCTCCGCTGAGGCTACCCGTTCCCAGGGGAGGAAGAAAGACTGCCAGCGCAGCCGGGAGAGAGGCGGGAGCTCTCCCGAAATGTGGATCCGAAATGTAAGGACGCTTCTCCTCCCTCGGAAGCTGGTGTTTGGCACTAGCCGAGAGCCCAGCCGAGAATGGAGCCGGGCTGGGAAATGATTCTACCGAACGAGTGCCATGAAGGGAAGTGTATCTTGGCTCTGCGGACTCCCCCTCACTCCTGAGCTGCTCCGTTTGGCTTTCTGGGGCTTGGTTTTCAGAGGAAACTCTCCCCCGGGTTTAAAAAAGGAAGGGGGAGAGGACAGCCTGCAGTCACCCCAAGGGGGTCCTCTGCAGACCTCCTGACAGGAATTCTCCTTAAGAAAAAAGACTGGGTCACCCTCACCCACCTTCCTCTGAGCAGCTCAGGAGGGCGTCTGTGTTTCTCTGGGTGTCTTTCTTCCTTTAAGCTGAGAAGAGGCCCAAGAGTGACTGAAGGCTGCCCAACTACGGGCAGGTCCAGACTGCGGAAAGGGGGTTGGGCACAGGTCTCGCCAGCCAGAGCCAAACCTTCAGACCAAACATAGGACGGAGCTAAACCCTAAAACCAAATGGGGAGAGACCCCTCACCTTGGGGCTGAGGCCAACCCTCCTGGGAGTCCCCGTTTGGTCCTGCTAAGGGCCACAGAGGGACAGGCTGGCTGCCCATTCAGTGGCTTCTCAGGTTCTGTATGGCTTTCGTCCCGGTCTAGAGAGCCAAAAATGCCCCTCTTGAAAGCTCAGCCATACGAGCTCTGAAGTAAAATACGCTGGTATTTTTGACGCAGCTCCTACTGGAACATCTTCTCCCGCCCCCGGAAATTCTCTAAAATGGGATATGTGGCCCTCGGAGCGAGAAAGAAGGTCCCCCATTGCACTCTTCTGTTTTCTCTGTCTGCCGACTTACCATCGAGAGCAAGCCAGGCGCCGAGTGTTTCAGCTTGAAGTTCTCATCGGCAAAGGGGCCCCGGTAGATGCTGGCCACACCGGTGCCGTCTCCCTGTTTAAGGAAGCCAAGGGGGTAAAAGCGTTCAGTTTTAGCATAGAATCGCCGAATAAATGAGTTAGGATGGGTCCCCTTGAGGCCATCTAGTCCAACCCTCTGCACAAGGCAGGAACCCAAAGCAAAGCCAATCGGACTGAGGGTGGTCCAATTTCCTCTTGAAGGCCCCCAAGCGTGGGAGCCCTCACCACCTCCCCCTAAGGTCATGGGTCCCACTGTCATACTGCTCAAACAGTTAAGAAGTTTTTCCTGATCTTCAGTGTAAATCCAGCATCCTGTTGTGCTGATTCCTCAGTGAGGCCCTGCTGACTGGGGAATCTTTGACCACAGCCCAAATTGTAACTTCTGCTACATACCAGGGTTGGCCAACCATGCCCCTCTTGGTGGGGTTGAACTACATCTCCCAGCGGCCTTTGCCTGTCTAGCCCCTGAGGAAGGACCACGGGACAAGTAGTCCAGCGATAGCATTTGCCCATCGGTCCACCTGCTAGCGTTGTGTACCACCTCTCTCGTACTGAGCTGTCAACATGCCATCGTGAAGAAGAGCCACCAAAAGATTTGGGGGGAAATTTAACTTCAGAAAAGTTTGAGGAATTGGGCTGGTGTGGAAAGGCCCTAGAAAATGACCTTCACCGTTATCTTCTCAGCTTTTCCCAAATGGCCCGGCGGTGCTCAGATTAAAAATAAATAAAGATAAGACACATTGAATGGTTCAGATGAATAGGATTTTTTTGTGTTTTTTTACATAGATCACTGTGGAAAGAAGATTGGAAAGAGAAAACGAGGGAGTCTTATAGAATTATACATTGCAGGCAAAAGGAGGAGACAGAAAGACACTAAGAACTTTTTTCCCCTCTAGAAATGGAGCATTCAGGAGCTGAAACCCGAAAATCCAGCTGAAAAAAAGCAGTTTTCTCCTATTAAAGGCTGCAGGAAACCTTCTGTCCATCTGTCCGTCCACTCCCTTTCCCCTCAATTTCTCTGTGCCTGGCCCCATTCCCCTGCCTTTCCTCTCTGGATCAAATGACACTGACGGATCGCTAGGGCTCAATCAAAGCTAGGCTTCAAATTTGAAAGATAACATTTAGTAGCATTTCCCATGAAAGCTGATCAGTCTTTCTAGAGAAGGCACGTGTAGCTTAGTATTGTTTTAATTTTTTAATTTGCTACACGGGGAAAGAAACAATCAGGATGATTGCTTTCTTAAGCACAGCTTATGGCATCGTCCTGTAAAGTCCAGCAGTCCACATATATGCCTTTTATCCTTTTTTTAAAATCCCTGAACTACACGACCCCCACAGAGTCCATTGTGTTTGGAGTTGGGTATGTTCATGAATGCGATAGGATAGAATAAAAGTTTAAAAAAAATAACGATACCGATAACGCCAGGAATCACCTCCTTCCCTAGGTTTCCAAATGCTTTGACTTAGCCTTCTGTCGGGTTATTTTAAATTTCAATTAAAGTTACTTGGCGAGACACACTGGAAAGGGTATAAATGATGTTTTTAACCAGGGAAGGATTTTAAAACTGCCAAGTAACCCTGGCACTGTGCCACGAGGTCCGGTTTTCAGATCACTTTGTATTTCCACGCGGGCGCTGGGCACATCATCTATTAATCCGCCCCCCCCCGGTACTGAGGATGTCCACCCTTGGTCGTCCCCTCTCCCAAGAGAGGATGGCAAACGGCTACACCCGTCTCGCCCCAGGGAGAACAATATTGTGCATTTAGCCCCCCCCCCAGTTTTTTGCTCCCAACAGTGCCCCCCACCTCAAAAGCGGGATGCTTTGTTCCAGGGACCCCTGAAAGTCTGGAGCGTCCGATGGGCCGCTCACTGCCATTTGTTGTGTGTGTGTGTGTGTGTGTGTGTGTGTGTGTGTGTGAGTGAGAGTGTGTGTGTGTGTGTGTGTGTGAGAGAGAGAGAGAGAGAGAGAGAGAGATCTGCTTCAGCGGAGGCAGACGAAACTCAGCCGGAATGTCACCCGTGCTGCTCCCATCCCTTTGCTCTGCCGGGAAAAAGCTGGAGCCTGGCTTTTCGTGTAATCCCTGCTCCGCTGTCCTCCCACCCCCTCCCCACATGATGAAAAAGGCTGGCTTCCCAGGGGGCTCCATTGACCTAGTTTCCCCCTCGCTGGAGGCGAGTGCACAGCTGAGCCCTTTGCTTTTCAGATCAAGCTCCCTGATCTCGCTGGGTGCTTGCACCAGATCCGCCAGGAAAAGGAGCCGGGGCGGCTAAAACTGGGGCAGGCTTGGGAGGTGTTCAAAGGGAGGTGATGCCCCCTCCCCACTGGACAGGGAAGCACCATGGCATTTCCCCTCACTACCTCCTGGGGGTAGAGAACTGGGTGGTTCAGGGCGACCTGAATCTCGCCCTTCTGTTCCCTGCAGGAAGGCAGAAGGGCTCGGTGTGTCCCGGGTAAGGGCTGGGCCAGGAGGGTCTCGGAGTCAGGAGCAATTCAGCCTCTGAAACCAAGCTGGCTGCTCTGAGAGAAAAGCAGGGCAGCCTTGACCAACTGGGGAGACTGGCCGAGGAGAGCTGGGGAGATGGGAGGGCGCGACTGCCCAGTGACCAGACAGACATGGGCTCAAGCGACAGGGAGCCCGATTTTGGCTGAATAGCAGGAAAAACTTCTCAACTGTTAGAGCAGTACGACGACGGGACCCAGGACCTCAGGGGGAGGAGGTGAAGCGTTCCAAAGCTGGAGGCCTCCAAGAGAGACACTTAAGACAACCTCCTGGCAGATACCTTTTGATCCGGATTCCTGCCCTGAACTGGGGGTCAGACCCGATGGCCTTACAGGTCCCCTTCCCGCCCCCCCCCCATGATTCTATCATTCATTTCCAGTAATGGAACTGCTGTAGTCACACCAAGCGAGTGTCGCTCAAAAGGAGCCACACATCTTGAGACGGAGTCGCAAAGAAAGGCTGGGTGAGGCATCTGGCTGCAGAGCCAGAGGTCGGGCGTCTGAATTCGCACTCGGCCTCCTCGACAGACGCTAGCAGACACATGTCTTTGGGTCACACCCTTGACCACGGAAAGGCTACAAAGCTCCAACCAGGAGAAAGTTCGTTACCCCACTACAGTACTTCACGCAGGTCTCTCGGCTGAGCTTCCAACCTGTAAACTCAACAGTCTCTTTTTTAATTTTTTTTTTAAAAGCTATGCACTCCTGTGACAATCAGGAGGCTGTCATAGTATGGAACGGCCTTATCGCGCTCCCGACTTGGGCACCAGTCACACCACCTCCCCTGGCGGCCGTTCGTTTGCTCATACCAGGCTGTGCAAAGGGCTTCAAACTGAGCCGAGCCGCTCCCCAGGTGGAAAAACACGCTATAACCTCATCGGCTTTCAGACTGGTTTCGGCTGGAGGGTTTGCTCTGGCCAAAGGGTTGCCTTCTCCCTTCCCCCTTCTCAAAAAGTAAATTTTACAAATTGTTTCTCGGCTGGAGATCAGTCACGTTCCAGTAACAGCACTACTCTTTACAGCAGGACCCCCATATCTGTGGGATATCAGTTCCAAGCACCCCACAGAGGGTGAAAAAAGCACATTATATAGCAAACATACAGTACTTTAATACTGAACGCTACGTGGTCTCTGTCCCCCTCTAGTTCGTGTAATGACAACATGGAAAATATACTTCTCTAGTAAACACTATACTGTAGTGTGGTCTCTAGTTCCCTCTAGTGGCAGGCTTTGTAACTTCTGACTTTAGAAATACAGTGGGGTCTCTACTTAAGAACAATCCAACTTAAGAACAGCTCCATTTGCTAAATTTTGCTTCTACTTGAGAACAGAAATCCAAGATAAGAATAGGAAAAAAAAACCTTTCCTGCTCTTTTTTTAACCTTAGGTCATCTTAGGTTAAAAAAAATTCTCCCCCTAGTGGTAGAGTATACATATTAACCAGCTTTGCATTAGTTCCTATGGGAACTAATGCTTCAATGTACGAACACGCCTCTACATAACAAAAAAAAACCAGCCAGAACGGATTAATTGGTTTTCAGTCCATTCCTATGGGAAATTTTGCTTCAACTTAAGAATGTTTCAACTTAAGAACACCATTCCAAAATGGATTAAGTTCTTAAGTAGAGGTTCCACTGTAGTTTCTATGGACGGAAAAGAGCAGATACAGATTAAATGGTTTTCAATGCATTCCTATGGGAAATGCAGATTCAACATAAGAACTTTTCAACTTGAGAACCACCTTCCAATACGGATAAAGTTCTTAAGTAGAGACCCCACTGTATTTAGAAAGGAGTTTTCTTTTAATATGTTTAATACAGTAGTTTCAGACCATGGGTAAGTGAATCAGTGGCCTTGTCTAGATTACCCATGGGTCTCTGTAGAGCAGCCATGTATCTGGCTTGGCGATACCACTGTTTGGATGACTACAACTCCCAGAATCCCCAGCCAGTATGGCTTATGACTAAGTACACAATGGAGTCTGCAAAGTCCTCCCAAAGAAAAGCACTTCACGCTGCAATGTTTCGTGGCAGAGCAAACTAGTAATAAACAAGAGCCACCTGTGGGCATGATCCGTTTGTGAGCCACAACCTGGCACCCTCTTAATATTCAATCTCTCGGGAATCGAAGGGAGCGCCCCTCCCCTTATGCTGCAGTTTTATCTGCAGCATCACAAGCTGCCTGTGGCTTGTGGCAAGTAACCAGGGGGGCCCTTTCTGGGCTGGGGCGACTGTCCATCTGTCCAGCATGAACCAATCGTTCCTCCCCGCCTCTGGATTCAAAGAAAGCCCCGCCTCTCTGCTGAGTGTTCTTTTCCTCTCTCTTTAGTCTGTGGGTGGCAGTTCTTTGCTAGTTGTTGATTGGTTCGCAACTATAAGCCATGAAACATTTGTATTCTCTCTTCTACTAATGTCTCAGAGTGAGTTACTGAGATTTTAATGAGTTAACGAGAAAGAGGTGGACCAACTGGGGGACGTGCAGCGATTCTCCTCTGTGAGCCCCTACTTTTATTGCACAGCATAATAATAATCAGAAGAATAATAAGAAAAGAATAACCAGAATTTCCAAACTAGTTTGCTCTGGGTGATGGAATTGTAGTGCAGGGTCACTCAAGACCAGGCTGGGGAGACGGAAGCAAGTTCTAGGTGCAGGCACAGCGGGACAATTAATTTATTTTACACCAAAGCGCTTTACCGAGAATGGCAAATCCTAGGTGCCCTCGGAAGGCCTGCCTACAGAGGCACGCATTCAAATCCAGCAGGAATCATGGTATGCCTGGGGAACTGGCTCCATTTTCTGCCCTGCAAGCCAATGCCAAAAAGGTGGAAGTACTGAAGGCTTTTTTCCATGGCACAGTCTCTGTATCTCTCTAGTGGGCCTCTATGGTAAATACACCCTGGAAATATGTACACAGAAATACATATTCCTGGGGTTTTTAATTTAGTATTTTCTGGCAGCGGATAAGTGAATCCGTGGATATCGATCCCGCAGATAGGAGGGGGGCCCTACTGTACACGTGGACAATGCTGATGCACCCTGGCAGGTGACAAGCACACTTCTCTTCCTCTAAGTTAGAAACAAAGCACAAGAAGAACCGGAAAAAATAAAACACAGGGTACCTACATTGACAAAATCACCTCCCTGGATCATGAAATCCTTTATAACCCTTAAAGAGAAAGAGAGAGAGAGAGGTGATATTGCAGGGTGGGTTTATAAATTGGTTACTTTCTAATTAACTTGCTAGTTAATTGCCTGTCATTTGGTGGATCTATGACTGACCAAGCAGCAAGATTAATTAGCCATTAATTAACAGGAACTGCAGTTGTCAGCATCAGAGCTTTAAAACATGACCTTCACGGACTATAACCACCAGAATCACACACCCCCCATCAGCCATGGCTGGCCGGGGGATTCTGGTGGTGGTAGTTCCATGAGGGTCACGTTTCTAAGCTCCACTCAGGGGAACTGAAAGAGGAGGTGTCACCACTGCACGGCCATCGAAAACCCTCCTGTGTCGCCCTCCTGGGTTAAACTAGACTGCAGAGGGTTATTCAAGAGGGACCCCAAGAGACACAATCACCCCCTCCAATCAAGAGCCTCATGGCTCCTCTGGAAATCGCCGCTTGCACAGAAGGCTGGAAACCGGCCATGCTTCTATTAGCTCCTCAAAGACTCAAGGGCATCAACCTCTAAAGGTGGACAAACAGGAAACTGATGGTGGATATACAAGGGCATGGGGGAACCCCCCCCCAGAAAGGGTTCAGTTTCTGTAGAATCCAAGCATCATGGAGTCAGAAGGGGTCCCCATGAGGCCATTGAGTCCCACCCCCTCGTCAAGGCAGGAATCTCAAATCAGAGCAGATCTGACTGTGGGTGGTCCCATTTTCTCTTGAAGGCCTCCAATGTTGGAGCGCTCAGCACCTCCCAAGGCCATGGGCCCTCTACTGCATGCTGGGGTCTGAAGCAACAGGAGGCAATCTGTGGTCAACTGGATGCGCCCAACAGCCCTAGCTACCTACAAAAATGAAGGGCACCGGGAGTGTCACAACACTAGAGGAACCAGCCTTTGGTTCCCAGCTCTGATTAATCAGCAACTCCCAGAAGCCCCAACCAAGAGCCATCGTGCTTGGAAATTCTGGGAGCGAGTTACAGACCAACAACCTCCACAGACCTGAGCTTCTCTCTTGTTGCACCAGAGGGAACACCTGCAGGTGGAAACTGGAGAATGACCTTCGCTCGGTGTCAACCACGGAGCCAGAGGTTGGGAGTTCAATTCCTCACTGGGCCTGCTTGACTGGGGCTGGACTTGAGGACCTGTAGGGTCCCTTCCTGCTCTGCCCTTCTAAGATGATGATGAAGACCTTAGATAGAGGCTGAATACACAGTTCCCAGCAGTGCCATGTAACAGCTGGAACCACCTTTAAGAAGAACCACAATGGCAAACACAGCCACGCGACCTCAAAGCAGAAGCCTGGGGCTGGTTCAAAGGGAAGACTTGAATGGGGAACCCATCAATATCTGGAGATCTACGTTTCTCTGGTATGAACTGACTTATTCTATGCACTGCATCACACTGGGTATCTCACATTTCTCTAGAAAAAGCCAAAAGCCATTCCTGAGTCATTACCAATAGCTTTGATTGTGAGACAGACATACCTGTGGAATGTACTGCCTTTGTAACCGATTGGAACGCCGTCTTTCCTGGAAGGTGAGGGAACAGAGACTGAGAAGAGGCAAAAAGCGCAGATCACAAGAGCCGACATCTCCATGGTCCTCAAAGAATTCACGTCTGCACAGCACCTTCAACGGCATTCGTGAGACACACTAAAGTGGTTTGGGAATGCCCTGTGTAAAAGTAATAAAACTTCAAGCTTACAAAAGCTCTCAAACCATAGAGGTTCCTTGCCTACAAAGCAGGGCTCCCGTATCCGCAGGATCTGTATCCGCGGAGTCACTGATCCACAGTCTGAAAATCTTAAAGAGAAAAATCCTAGAAATAATTATTTCCAACTGTGATGTTCCCAGAACTGGCCCTTAGAGGGGAATCGCTTTTTCTTTTTAAATAGCATTTGCTATAATCCGTGTTTTTTGGCATCTGCAGAGGGAGTTGGTAACTGGTCCAGCACGCATACGGGGGTCCTAGTGCACTGCCCTTCAGCTGTTGAAAGAGACATCCTACATGGATGTTTCCAAAAAAGGAAAATATAGCAGGGGGAGACAGGGGATGCTCCGATGGGACAAAGAGCACAGGAACACGCTCCACATTTCATGGGTCGAGGGAAGAGAGGGGGGCCCCCATCCCATCCCCAAGTTTCATATGGGCATGTCAGCAGCAGGCTCGTCTTTCTCCTCTGAATGGGATGGGCTAGGAAAAAACAGAGGGTGCATTGGCCTACTCAAGAGATTTCCTATTTTGTAGACAGAGACCCCAGGGTGAGGGGTCCACCACTTAGGACCCAGGAGCTACAGAGAAATGAACTTTTGACAGGCAGCTTGGCCTCGGTTAGCCTCTCCTTCGTTCCTTCCAGGTCAAATCACTAGAGGCTTCAAACTGAGTGCTGAAGGGAAGGCAGAAATCCAAAGGTAATAGAAAACTTTGTCCAGGATCCAAAGAAATGAAATCTATACAGAAGGACAGACCATGGGCCAAGGCAGAAAGTTCCTCAAGGGTGCAACGGTAATTTGACTGCCAAATAGACAAGGCATGAAACCTTTGGCATGGAAAAAGGCTTGACTCCTCAACAGGCAGCCCAGGGGCAGTAAAAACGACAGGAGACACAGCTACACGAGAGGGCGCTCCTCTCAGGGAGACTGATCACTCCTTTAAACCCAGCTTGCGCTGCTGGGTTTTTTGGCTTCCTTCCTTCCCTTGCAGTTCCCCCCCCCCTTTTGAGAAGGGGAGGAATTGGCAGAGTCAACGTACCTGAATTCACCTGTGCAAAATTGCCTGAAAGGAGAAGAAAATTACGGCGTCACGTTCGCTCACAACAAACACCACACGCAGATGCAAGCGGTCCTGCCCGCTGAGCCAGTGGTAAAGAGGGCCGCTCTTCAATTCAGGGGGAAAATCAGACAAAGAGGAAATCCGCTCCCAGTCCACTCCCTACACCAATAAACACGGGAAGTAGTGAACGCTATACGGAGCATGGCCTCTGGCTCCCTGTTGTGGCCCTTTTTGGTAAATAGGTCCTGAGAGTACACGGAATTATGTATTTCTGGGGGTTTTAAATTTATTATTTTCAGACAGCATATAAGTGAATCAGTGGATAATATTTCTGCGGGTGTAGGAGATCCAATTGTACAAGAATAATTTAAAACACAGTTCCTTATTATTAAGAGCATTAAGCAGGGCTTCAGGATTGGGACAGAAAAGGCCCCCTCAGGGCCACCAGTTGCTCGTCAAGTCCCAGCTAGGAAATACAGTGGGGCCCTTTTATCCACGGGATCAGGATCTGCCAATTCACTTATCCCTGCTCTGAAAATATTAAAAAAGTAATCTCTCTCTTGCTGGCTGAGTGAAAAATTAACTTTTTTTCTTTAATTTGTTTACTGCTCCCATCAGCACCATGATGACGCTTCCAGAACTGCCCCTTAGGGGGAGCCAAAGACCAAGCTATGTCTAGCGTTCGCCATCATTCGCGGTTTTCAGCATCCACGGGATGGGTCATGAGAGCTGATCCCCCGCGAATACGGAAGTCCTCTTGGACCGGGCGTAGGAGGGCGGGGCGGCCTCAGGATGCGTCCCCAAGCCCCCTTCCCCAGGAGCAGCCATTCCTTCCCTCGTTCCTCCTCCCACTTCTCTGGGACTCGGCGAGGGACAAAGAGGTTCCGCTCTAGCCGCCTCGCCTCAGTGCTCCGCGAGGGGAGGACCCGGAAGAGCCACAGGAAAGGGGCAGGGGAGGCGAGAAGGGCCGCGCGGCCGCTCTGGGCGGGCCTCTCGCTGGCTCGGCTCCTCACCTGAAGTTCTCCGCCGTCTTGGGCACCACATCGGCGAAGAGCTCCACCTTCATGCGGCCCACCTCCTGGAGGGGGGAGGAAGGGGGGAAAGAGAGAGTGAGGGGGGCGCCAGGGAGGGGGGGGTTCTCCCCTCTCCCCCCTTTTTGCCCCTCCGGCCCCTACCTGGCCTCCGATGGTGATGTCGAAAAACACCACCGGGTTGTTGGGATTCGAAGCCAGCACCGCCATGGCGACCACCTCTCACCTGGAAGCGGAAGGTAGCTCCTGCGCGCGTGCCCTCGGGCGTGACGTCACTTCCTCCGAGGGGGTCCTGCGCCGATTCCCTCTGAGCATGCGCGAAGCTGGCCCTTCTGGAAGCCAGAGGCTGCCCCTTAAACGTGGAGACACCACCTGGTCCCTGCGTTGCGCGGACACATGCCCTTGTTCCGGGAAAGCTTCCACTAGAACCGAGCTGTCTATGAAAGGCCAGAGGGTCCCGTTTCGCCTGGGTTTTTCTTTTTTGGGCTTTTGCTTGTGTTTCATGTAGGAAGGAATGGTTATTCTTTGTTTTTATTTCGTTAAAATATTTATACAGTGGTGCTCCGCATAGTGACGTTAATCATCGTTATCTGGAAACATCGCTAAACGGAACAAAAACCCCATAGAAATGCATTAAACTTCATTTAATGTGTTCCTATGGGCTTAAAACTCACCGTTGAGCGAAGATCCTCCATAGGGGCGGCTATTTTCAGTGCCTCTAAAGCGAGGCAACACAACAGGCGGCCATTTTGGAACCGCGGATCAGCTGGCCAAAAATGGGGCTTTTGGCATTTTCCCCCAGCTGAGCTGCGGGAGCCTGGAAGCCCTGCTGCTCAGCTGGGGGAAAATGTCAGCAGTCCCTCCGCAGTGGCTTTGGAAGGACCCCGAAGCCACCGCCGACATTTGCCTTCCGAGCTCTCAAAGTCCTCCCACACACATTGGAGAAAGCCCTTTGAGAGCTCCGAAGGCTCTCAGCGGCGGTGGGGGCAGGGTAGGGGGTGTCCGGATGGCTTCCAGGCGAAGCACTGGAAGCCATCCGGACACCCACCCAC